ATCAGATAACATCGTGGTAAAAGTAGATATACACTTAAGTGGTTTGGTCTCAGGACTGAAATGTATCCATGCTACAACAGTCTCCTGGACATCACAGGATAGAGGATATTATGGGGTAGAGGATAACTTCTTTATTCTAGCATAAAAGGCCCTCTATAAAAAAGGAGAAATACAGCAGTAATGCACTATATGAAACAACAGAACACAGTATTTAGATTTCAGGCTTTGGAACTCAAATCTCTTGTCATTTATATGCACCAAAATGGGGCAAAACACAAGGTATCTAAGCTTTTATAAACACGTCTGCAAAATGAGAATGACAATTACAGAACTCAGCTATGCTCTCTGCTATGAAAGTAAACTATGGGTTGCTATGAAGGGATTTATGGGTTGCTATGGGTTGCTATGAAGTAATATGTATTGAGTACTTGGCCTGCTCTCCAATATACTGTAAGTTAAAGAATTGGATTTTGTAGCTCTTTCCAGTGGCATTTCCACCTGGTTTACATTTGCACAGACTGGACTTCTAATAGAGACTAACTACACCTTTCAGATCAGTCCCCCCTTTTCTTGGATATTCCCGCCAACAAAAGGGCCTGTTCTCTTTCAATTTGATTTTAAATCTCAGCAAACTTTTGAGGTCTAACTCAAAATTTCTAAAGCATGTCTGCTGTTTATGACTACCTGATACTTATGGTCTATTAGGTATCAAAACACAGAAGTTAAGAGGACAGAATCTGGAGCCAAATGGTATAGGTTTGATTCCAGCCTCTTCAATTTGTTAGCTGTATGACCATGGTCAAGTTGTTTAATATTTTTGTGACTTAGTTCTATCAACTGTAAAATGAAGATACTCACCTAAATATATAGTATCCAGTCGACATTACTTGAAGACTGAATGGGAACAATGTTGGACACAAATGCTATATTAGCATTTTTAATTATTATTATTTATTATTACAGTCTATAAATTTCATATTCCTAAGAAAATTATAAAACTTGTCTGGAAATTGTAGATTTCATTTAAATTTCCTTTTGCAGTGTTCAAGATGTTACAATGCAGTTGATTACATAGTGTAGGAATCTGCTAAATACTTGGTGACTAAGAGCCAATGTACACTCCATTTAGGAAGGTAAAATGCCTACCATTTTCCAGCAATTATCCTAAACAAATTATGTACATTATAACATTCAATTCTGATAACTATCCAATGAGATTATTATCCTCATTTAACTACTGAGAATTTAGTTATGTTACTTGACCAGGATGAGGCAAAATAGTGCAGTGGATAGTAAATCCTTGTTTAAAAATATAGGAATTCTTAACTTTTGTGTGTATCAGAATCACTCAAAGAAATGGTTACTACAGCTTACTGAGAATCATACCAGATGTTCTGACTCAGTAGGTGTGGATGATGTTCAAAGTTTTGTATTTCTAACAGTTTTCTAGGTGATTATGATGATACACTTTTAGGGATATATTTTTTAAATGATTGCAGTAGGTTATTTTCTTTCCTCTGTACTAAACAGCTTAAGGTGCACTTGGAAATGTCATTTGCAAGCTGGAAGTTGATGTATTCTATTTTATGATATGTGGAAAGATAGAAGTCTTTTCTAAAAAGAGTATAATGTTAGAAACTTACGTGGAAACAGAGCTTTAAAAAAAAAAGAAAGGTATTTTGGGCAAGGATAATAACTCGTCTATAATATACAAATTATCAAAGAGTAGTTAATTATATAGATACTTTAGTTGATATAAAAATTCCCCTGACTTCTTAACAAACACTTAACCATTAGCAAATCCAGAGAGCTAATCCATCTGCCAAGAAAGATTTGGATGTCCTCAGACAATAGAAGGCAGAGTCTACTCTGCAGGACCTCTTAGTTTCTTCTACAGGTGGATTATGTCATTAGAGGAATATTAAACCAGACTTCCTTTTTTTGTATTAAATTCTTTTATTGGTACATTGTAGGTATACAACACAATTACATTTCTCATTGGGAATTGTACCTTTACATAATGCATCTTGGTTCTTATTTTTTCCCCATTCTTAGTCCTCCCTTCACGCCCTCCATCCTTCCCTATTTACAAAGACTTTATTTCTATTTTTTCCATTTCTCATTATTTTTCCTTTCCCTTTTTTCCTTTCTCCTGCCCCTCCCACTACCCCTACCCCTTTGGACCTTTTCTTCCTATTTTACATTATCGATTATTCATTCTAATCATTGGTACATTTTAGGTATACAATATAATGACATTCATCATTGGAAATTTTCACCTTTACATAGTTTCTCTTGGTTCTTATTTTTCACCCTTGCCCAGCCCTCCCTTCAACCCCTCCAGTCCTCCCTATTTACAAAGATTTTGTTCCTATTTTTCCATTTTCTCATATTAATCCCATTCCCTTCTATCCTTTCCCCTAGCCCTCCCACTTCCTTCCCCTTTGCCCCTTTTCTTCCTATTTCACATTACCTATTATACATTTAGTCCTTATTTACACTTTCAGTTTCTCACACCAGAGAAACTATTCAAACCAGGCTTTCAATTCCTTTTTTTTTTTTCCGGGGATCAAACTCAGGACCTTGTGCTTGCCAGGTAGGTGGCAGCGCCACTGAGCTAAATCCCCGGCCCACAGACTTTCAATTCTTCTGTAAGATATTTTATACTCTGAAGTCATCAGAAACAGAATGATTCTGGATATGCCCACCCATAGCAAGGAAATCAAGTCAAGACAGAAAGCCTACCACTGTTTCTGCTCAGTGGGTCACAATAGTTCCTTTCTTCAATTATTCATTCCTCCTTATCTGTAATTTGTTAGATAAATGCCGTACTTTCACTGCCTGAACAAATTGACAAACTTAATGCAAACACAGGATCCTGAAAATGATTTTCCTGCCTGAATTTTAGTAAAAGTTTGCCTTTCCTTACACTTAGTATGTTAGTGTTGCTGAAGTGATCGTGTTGAATTACAGCCCTTGGCTTGTTCTGTCTTGCTTGTTCTATTCTTGGCTTTTCTGCCTTGAAGTGCCTGTGGCCTGACATGGTACAAAAGTCAAATGAACAATAAATCATACTAGAAAATGTCTTTTTATGCCCAACTTTCTCTTTTTATGCCCTTGGACCAAAAAAGAGGGGAGAATAGAAGCTAGAATTATCACCAATTCTAGAAAATTCCCAAGTGGACATATACAAATTCAGTATCCTGGGATGTAAATCACTCTAACCTGAGCAAATTACTACCAATCTGAGGATGTGTGACAACAAAACAGCTAAGACAAAGAGGAAAAACTAGTCCAAAGTAAAAGAATGATTTAGGAAACATACAGGGAATTACCTCTCCCTAGTCAAAGTTGAAATGATACATATATGGGACATCTAGGTGAATATTCTGAAAGTTGTCACCATAGTAGAGCAGTTATAGTAACATTAGTCTAAAGCTGTCTTTGGGATTATCCTAACACAACTCATGACCAAGCTTTGACAGTATCTCACTAGTTTCAAATAACTTGGCTGTTGCACACCAAACACAAAATAGGTACTAAAAGGATACAACATAATTAGACATCAACAATATAAAATTACAAAGCTGTGCAGAGACAGAGAAATAAAGACAAGAATGTCATTGGCTTTCTCACCAGAAATGATGAGATGGATAGAGAGACATTCCAAAGTACTGGTGAAGGGAGCTGAATGCAAAATGGCACTGAATAATGTTTTAAAGTGATAAAAATATTCAATGTCTCAATAGCAATGGCTTGAAATATTCACTCTCAAAAATAAAAATAGTAAAATATATGCAAGATATAAAATAGCTGATTTAAAAAAAGAAGCTAGTCAATATTGCAGAAATGCTATTAATCAATTCAGGGTTATGAATGTATCCATCATCTCAAATATTTATCATATTTTTGTGTTGTAAACCAACATCCTCTCATCCAGTTATTTTAGAAATGTACAATAATTGGTAACTATGATCTCCCTAGAAAATATTTTTCAAAGAAGAAAAAAAGTTTTTCAAATTACAGAGTATGTTTTTTGGTTTACAGCTAGGTACTGCAATATTCCAAAGAGAGGTATGAATTCACATATGCTTTAATATGTACTTTTTAACAACAATTTTATCTTTTCAGAAAATTTTAAGGTGAAGGATATGCGAATTACCCTACTTGGTTTTTACCCAGTGTACGTAAGAGTCAAAACACATTATATCTACAAACTTGTAAGATTAGTATACTAAATCAAATCATTAAAAATCCAAAACTGGCCAGGGATGTAGCTCAGCAGCACAACACCTGCCTGCCAAGCACAAGGCCCTAAGTTTGATCCCTATGACCACCCCCTCCAAAAAAACCACAAAACAAAACAGAAGGAAATTACAGCCAGAAAGGAAATAATTTAGCAAGCTGTGTGAATTTTAATAACTTGCAAAGAGTAATTCTCAACAAATGTCTTTCCTATATATGCAAAACCCAAATTAGTATCATACTAAACTTGCCATAAAGTCAGTGGGTTGAATCACAATTATATTTTTTTAATTCATATTAGTTCAGACATTCATAATAAAATTATTTTAGGTCTAAAGGGATAGAGAAGGCAGGAGGGGTAGGGAAAAGGAAAAAATATGAGAAAAGGAAAAAAAATGGGAACAAAGTCTCTGTAAATAGGGAAGGGTGGAGGGGTGAAGGGAGGGCAGGGGAATGGGGAAAAAATAAGAACCAAGATATATCATGTAAAGGTACAAGTTCCCAATGGTGAATGAAACTGTATTATATACTTAAAATGTACCAATAAACTTAATGAAAAAAATATTTTAGGCTGAAGGTAGTTTTAAAACAATTAGTATTAAAAAATTTTTATAATAATCTTTTTAAATAACCTTTCAATTACTTTTTGTTTAACTTTCCACATATATTTTCTCTTCGCAGGACAATATTCATTAAATTTTGTTCTGTGTAGCTATAATAAAGGATGTCCATAGAATGCTAAATTGTTTCTTTACCTCCAGTTTATTTCTTGAAGAAGTGGGTTCCCAGTGAGAGACAATTCACGGAGAGAATAACATGCATCAAACCATTTCATGGCACTTTCACGATCTATAGAAAGTAAAACATTATGAAAGCATCACATATAAAGAAAAAAAATCATAGCCAGTAATTTAGCCCAGCAGCTTCATGCCTGCCTTGCAAGCGCAAGGTCCTGAGTTCGATCTCAGGTACCAAAAAAAAAATCATAAAGTAAGATAATTTTATTTAATGGTTATCTCTTAAAGAAAAGCATTATTTTTACATTTTCTGCAGAAAATTACAAGATTTTTAAAGGAGAATGAATTGGGTTAAGAACATAGACTGTTGTAGAATGTCCTTATCATTTAGCAGCTGTGAACTTAGGCAAATCTTCCTTAAAATTCACAAATTTCATAGAGTATTAAATGAAATAATATGTATAAAATGTTTACAATATTTTGTGCCATATCCCAGGCATAAAATCTGAAGATGTGAAATATAAGTAATAGGATATGTGGCATTGGGATTAGGGTGGAGGGTCTTTGGGATCCACCAGGGGGATTTCTGGACCACATAATGTGTATTTGGTGGTCATAGAACCATGTCCTCAGGGTCTACATTTGACCCTCACTCTTTCCTTTCTGACACTGTTCTTCTGTTCCACAGCCACCACGAACTAAGAATCTTTGCTCAACCTCAGGTTCTGCCATGATGTTTCCTCCTTGGAGATAGGCAACCATAGACCGAATTCCTAGAAACTGTGTGGTAAATTAAAGGTCTTTTCTTTAAGTTGTGGGTGCCAAGTAGTGTGTGTTTGTGATGGGAAAACTGATTAACATAGGTCGGAAAACTGCAATATACCTAAATAGAATTATATGGACCTGTTATACTTTCAAATGAAAAATAACAAGTAAATCTATAGTACATTACAGAGTAATGAACATTGAATTGCTTTCCAGCAGAAAACAACCATAATTCCAGAAAAAATACATAGCACTTGTTTTCAACTCTGACTTTAGAACTAAAGTTGAAATTTGTGGGGGAAATGTCCTGAGAAGAAGATAAATGTGCCCATATTAGGGGTGTGTGTATGAGGATTCACCCCACATATTTGGAAAAGTGCTAGGTGTCACATAGGCTAGACAAGACTGCAACACTTAGCAAAAATCTCATGCAGTAGGACTAAGAACTAAACTTAGACAATAAAGTTCCTGCAGTAGTGAAAGATATTAGAGATGTAGAACAATCAACATGAGATCAAATGGATCATCTTAGAAATCACCTGAAATCTAGAAAGACTGCACATCAGATATTAAAGCCAGGCACTGGAGAAGAGCATGAACTAAGAGTTGAAAACTAGAATGGCCTGTCCAAAGAAAGGATGAAGCTAGGCCTGACAGAAAGAAAATTACTCACCACTATCTTAATTGCCTGTTGGAATAAAATTTAACATCATTTAAAAGAAAAACTTCAATGGTATCATGCCTGCCTTTCAAGAGCAAGGCCCTGAGTTCTATCCCTGGTACAAAAAAAAAAAAATCTAAACTCACTAAACTTTATCTACAATGTTCCATGTACAGTTAAAATGTACTAGACATATAAGGAAATGGGAAAAAGCAAATCATTGTTAGTAGAAAAGCTATTAGTAGAAACACATCCCAAATTAACCCAGATATAGAGCCAATTTTTGATAAAGATATGGAAATAATTCAATGATTGGAAACATTTATTCAATAAATGTTGCTGGAACAACTGTTAGTTCATATGAGGAGATTAAAAAAAACCCATATGATCCTCTCAATAGATGCACAAAAAAGTGTTTGACAAAGTCCAACATAAATTCATGATAAAACCCCTACAGAAAATTGTAACAGAAGGTCTTTATCTCAACTTGATTACAGCTATCTATGAAAACCCAACAGCCAACATCATACTAAATGGTCAAAAACGGAAAATTTTCACGCTAAAATCAGGAACAAGACAAGGATGACCACTATCACCACTGATGTTTAATATTGTTCTTGAAACATTAGCCACAGCAATTAGAAAAGAGAAAGAAATAAAAGGAATAAAAAGAGGAAAGGAAGAAGTTAAACTGTCATTATGGGCTGATGATTAGATACTTTACACAGAAGACCCAAAATATTCTGCCAAAAGGCTTGTAGACTTAATTGACAGATTCAGTAGAGTAGCTGGATATAAGGTCAACACTCAAAATTTTAACAATAACCTTTTTATATACAAATAATAGACTCACTGAGAGAAAAAGTAGGGAAACAATTCCTTTTACTATAGCAACCAAAAAAATGAAATATCTAGGAGTCAGTCTAACACAGGAAGCAAGGACATCTACCCTGAAAACTATAGCACTTTGAAAAAGGAGATTGAGGAGGATATAAGAAAATGGAAAGACAGCCCTTGTTCCTGTATAGGAAGAGCCAATGTAGTGAAAATGGCCATACTTCCAAAACTATTATATAGGTTTAATGCAATCTTAATTGAAATTCCAACAATATATTTCACAGAACTAGAGAAAACAACTCAAAAATTCATTTGGAACCAGAAGAGACCTAGAATAGCAAAAGAAATTTTAGGCAACAGAGATATGGCTGGGGGTATTACTATCCCCAACTTGAAACTATACTACAAAGCAACTGTGATAAAAACAGCATGGTATTGGCAAAGAAACAGACCTGAGGATCAGGGGAATAGATTAGAAGATACAGAAACAACTACAGATATGCTCAGCCACCTCATCTTTGACAAAGGAGCCAATCATCCTCATTGGAGGAAAGATAGCCTATTTAATAAATGGTGTTGGAAAAACTGGATTTCAACCTCCCAAAGATTAAAACTTGACCCATGCACTAAATTAAGATCAAACTGGATTAAAGATTTAAATATTAGGAGAGGAACACTAAATTTGCTGGAAGAAAAGTTAGGTAGAACTATTGAAGATATTGGTATAGGAAAAGACTTTATGAACAAAACCTCAGTGGCACGGGAACTTGCACAAAGAATCAACAACTGGGATCTTATCTTATTAAAAAGCTTCTGCACTGCAAGAGAAACCACTAAAAGAGCTAAGAGACAACCTACAATGTGGGAAAAAAATTTTAGCAACTGTATCTTAGACAAAGGACTACTATCTAGAATATATAAAGAACTGAAAAAAATCAGACCCCCAAAATTCAAAGACCCAGTTCAAAAATGGGCATCTGAAATGAACAGACATTTCTCAGACAAAGAAGTAAAAGCAGCAAATAAATACACAAAAAAATGTTCAACATCACTGGTTATTCGAGAGATGCAGATGAAAACAACACTGAGATTTCACCTCACCCCAGAAAGAATGGCTGCTATTAAGAAATCATCTAATAACAAATGCTGGCGGGGGTGTGGGGAGAAAGAAATCCTTCTCCATTGTTGGTGGGAGTGCAGACTGGTGCAACTACTGTGGAAATCAGTATGGAGATACCTCAGAGCACTAGGACTCGAGGTCCCATTCAACCCAACTATCCCCCTGCTGGGTATCTTCACAAAAGAATTAAAGAATCTTACCACAACGATATATGTGCACCCATGTTTATAGGTGCACAGTTCGTAATACTGAAAGCTTGGAAACAGCCCAAGTGCCCATCATCTGGAAACTGGATAAAGAAGATGTGGTTTTTTTATAAAATGGAGTACTACTCAGCCATAAAGAATGAGAAACTAGAGTCATTTATAGCTAAATAGGTACATATTGAGGCCATAATCTTAAGTGAAATAAATAGGGCACACATGTATAAATACCGAATAGTTTCTCTAGTGTGAGAAACTGAAAGTGTAATACACACGGATGAAATGTCCTAATAACATATTTCTCAGATTGTGTTTCCATTGCGTGTCATATGACTGTATCAAAATTTAAATTAGGGAGAAGTTTGGCTTATGTGGAGTCTGCTAGCTAACTGGAGTTTTTTTCCAGATCATTATTTGTTCAGTATTGGTTTTGGGGATCTTTCTGAAACAAATCACATTCTCTGGTGTCTTGTTGGTGCTTGAGATGCTTTTTTAAATTATGTGGAAAAATGTTTAAGTGCTTTTCAGTCTTGTTTTGGTTGAGTTCTACTGTATTTGAATACTATTGTAGTTTTGTTCCCCTTGCATTGTTCTTCTTTGAATGGTTTTAATTTTTTGTATGTGTGTGTGTTTGATAATAAGGTTATTTAAAAAAAAATTAAGTCTAATTTTAAAATACTGTTCATAAAATTAACATGTAAAACAAGCTAGGAGAAAATATTAGAGTATATTATCTGATAAAGAATTTTATCCAGAATAGAAAAGAAAACTTCTGAAAATCAAAAAAAGGGCAAATAATCAAAGTTTTAAAATTGTAAAGCATTTCAATATGTACATCAAAAGTTATAAAATCACTAATAAATATCTGTAAAACAAAGACTCAATCTCTTTATTCATTAAAAAATTCAAATTAGAGCCACAATGAGATAATTCAATGATACTAAAAACTCTCGAATGGAATAATTGGACCTCTAACACATTACTGGTAGGTATATAAAATAATACAACTACTTTGGAAAGAGTTGGGCAGATTTTTTTTTTAAGTTAAACCTATACTTACTCTACTATCCAGCAATAACATCAAACTTTTAACCAAGAGTATTAAAATATAAGTCTGCATAAAGATTTGTGTAAGAATTCCCTTAGGAACTTTGTATCAGAGTACCTTTAAGCATTAAACATTCAAATATCAAATACCAGGAATAGAAAAATGAATAAACAGTTTGTTATATAGTCATACACTGGATTATAAGCTAGCAGAAAAAGAGTCCTGAATAAACAATATGGCAGAATGACACACGAATACTGAGCTGAGAAAGAAGGAGGCAAAAAACCCAAAAAACTGTTTGATCCCATTAATATAAAGACAAAATGAACTTATTTTGATAAATTCTGACTGGTTGTCTCTATAACGCAATTAGGAAAACTTTTTGAAGGGGATTAATTAATCTAATTCATGATTCTTCAATAAACTTAATGGCCATCTATACTGTTGGGAATTAACAAACTATACATTTTTTGTTACTCATCTTCCAAGATCCATTTCATAGGTAAAAGATATGTATCTTAAAGTTAAAATATTTTATGATTACTTAGGCCTATCACAAAGATAAAAGGTAATATTTTTTAAAAAGCGAAAATAAAATTTCAAACAAAGTATTTCAGTGTGTTTTATTGTATAGGTTTAATGTTAGCAAATACCATTAACACGTATTTAAAACAATTCTTTACCATATTTGGAACAGAAACTCAATAATCTGTTAATTTTTTAAAGTTAAATATTATTCTAAACTTACCAGAAAGACAATTGTTGCTGACATCTAGTTTTTCCAAAGAAATAAAATGAAAAAGTGGTACAATTCTTGTCAAACTGAAAACAAAAACATAAAATTTATGAAAAATTGTAAATGAGCATATTCTGGATATTATTGATGTGATTATATAACAAAATCTTTATATAACGCAATCATATAATTATGCAAAATTTTTACAATTATATAATTGTAATTCCATATTACAACGCAGTTATAACATTTACTAACAGTACTTATTAAAAATGCTGTAATCATAGGTATCTGAGTAATCCTATTATGGAATATTTCTATTCCTTTTTATAAAGAAACTGCTAGGAAATATTTGTATAATAAGAGATTTTAACTCTTGTTAAAGAGAAATTGCCATGGGTTTGACAATTTCAGCCACAAACGTCATGGACTTTGATGTATATTTGCTATTAAATTTCACATAAGTGGGAGGTTTTTTTGGTTATTATTCTGTCTTTTTATAAAGCCAAAGTTACACAGTATGTACATTATGTATGGTTTTCTTCTTTAGGCTCAAGCACATGACCTAAATCTTTAAGATACAAATATTAAAAAAAATCATTTTTCAGTAGGATAATGGAGACAATAATTTTGTTTTTTAATTTAAAAAAATTATTTGCTTAATAGATTGAAAGTATTAGAAGTACTAATATCCAAAGTTACACTGACTCTAATTCTAAATTGAAACTACACATAATGTACAAACAATAAATCCAAGGAAGTCAACGTCATAAAATATTTTACATTAATATCATAAATTTAAATTTGGCAGAAACATACTAATATTTAAAGTTAACACTCAATAGTTTTACAAAATAAAATTGTAATAAGTGAACTTCCCTCCACTTTTAAAAGTTTTTATCATTTACCGAATTATAATTTTCATTAAGAACTTTTATATTCAGACTAGAAGCATAAATGTTATTGAAAATATGCATGGATTTTGGCAGAAAAACTACGAGGGAAAATTATCTTTAACTTGACTTACATTTCCAACTAAGACATTCTGCAACAGAATGTTGCATTACTGTAGTTATTGGAAGTTAAAATTAAACCAGGTTATCTGAGTCTTTAAATAAGATAAAAATCTCCTTCTCACAAGATATAGTCTCATGAAAGTTGCAATTCTTCTAAATTAATCCCCTTTATAAATTTCGAAACTCCATAACTACTCAAAATATGATTCAGCTAAAGGAGCATCTCTGGCACAAAAAAGTACTCATTAATTATACTTCTATTGCCCTTCTTTTTCCTCCTCCTTTTCCTCCTCCTCCTCATCCTCTTCTTCCTCTTTCTCTTTTCTTGCTATCTCTCTCCCTCTTTATCTTCTCCTCTATCATCTTTTCTCTCTCTCTTCTGTCTCTCCAGTTTTCCTGGCAAAGTTATTTACCTCTTTGTTTCCATGAAATCCCTGCCATTGTTTATTTTTAAAGAAAAAACCCCCCTATTATTCTAAGGTCAGAAGCCACAGAACATAACACTGTGACAGAAAACCTCATGGGATCTTGCATCCTCTTGGGGTCTCGCAGAAAATCAACCCTCCAAGTGACCTTGACTCTTCTCTTGTACTACCCTGTTCTACATTAACAGAGAGAAAGAAGATACTTTTGATAAAAAAGTAGACTAAATAATAAAGCTACAAGAAAATTTCTCTAAATGTTTTCAATCCTAAATGCTACACTATTACAATTCATATTAAACCTGTTCAATGTTCCTTCTTAAAAATAGTTTCAATAGGGTAAGATTTCAAATAACTTAAAGAAAATGTGAGAAAAATATTAGTCATTACATTTATGCATACACTTCATTTGTACATTCCATAATAATACAATTTACTGTCATGTAAATAGAGATGGAAGGAAGGAAGGCAGGGAGGGAGGGAAGAAGAGAGGGAGGGAATTTAAAAATTGTGGATATGTAGTTATTGGATTTAAATATTAATTTCACTATCTTTCTGCCCATTGTGATAATGATATGTTCTGATATTATTATCACAAGGAAGAAATTTAAATTCTTCAAGGGCAAGTGTAAGCATATTTCTCAGCAAGAAAATTCTTATTTGTGTTGTAACCTTAATATATTCCTAATACCAAATCTTTGCCCTTCTACTGAAAAGAATATGAAAGACTAATAGCTAATGACATGTTAAATCCTTAGGTTATATTGTAGTTTTTCCTCTTTCTTTCAGAATATAATATCTGATGTTTTTAAGTATTAAGTTTATGATAACATATTAAGACAGAAAATGAAAATAACCAATAAAGTTTTAGGATTTAAAAAACTATAAAAATCTCTTTTGGAAAAATCAATCTAAGAAATATCTGCTATGACTAAATATTTTTGTATTATAATGACATTTTATCTTTTCATGTAACTATGCTTTTTTAAAAAAGTTGTTTTTTGTTAGAAACTAACTGGCGATATACACCTTTATGACTATTCATTATAGGAAAGTAGAAACCTAATCGTAAAATTCCTTTTATTTCAAACTCTAAAACTTTTCCTCTTACTCACATTCTGTATATATTTTTTCCAAGAAAATTTAAACCAGAAAGATAAAGGACATTAGTGAAAACCTAATACCATTTGACCTTGTCACATTAGCCCTGGGCATTAAAAGATATAAATTTCAAAGACGACAAAAAGCAAAAGATTTGTACAATGAGCAGCCAATGGGTAATAGTTTCCACTTTCTGCTCCTACTTAGAGTCTCACTGGAAGTAGAAAAGCTTATGAAGCTGGAGAGTCTCTGGTTAGAACTTGGCTGAGTCAAACTTAAAACAGTGACATGTCCTCATGAAAATCTAAAACAGAAGTCAGGATGAAACAAGCATTTCAAACAATATGTACTAAATATCATTCTTTATATGTATTCCATTTGTTGGGAAGGAAAAGCATATGGATATATAATTTCTTCCTTGTGATGAAAACGTTTATCAAAAATTAAAAGAAAAATATATACAATTAAAAAACCATGCTAACCACAAATACACATGCACACACACACATACGTACGCACGCACACATACACATGTGCCTCATAATTCTATATATTCACATTTATAAAATTATTCTCAAGTTTTAAAAATGTATCCACATATACTTTCTTCTTGGATTATCATTAAAAACAGTTTATGTAGCCATTATTACACATTCTACCTGTGTGAGTGTTGGAGGGGACTCAAACTCAGATAATGAGTGAGAAATAAATGGCTCAATATCAGTTAACTTATTAGATGTAAATTCAAAATTAAAACTCAGATCTGCTGATTCTGAGTTTTATCAAACTTCATATAGCTCTGAAATGACTCATACACATATAAAAACATGATGTAAGATGATACATTTTTTTTAAATCAGAAGGTGGAAGATTATATTTACAAGAATGTACTAGGAAATAGTTTTACTATTTACCCATTCCACCAAATACATTTCCATGGTAAGGACTCAGGTGTTTTCTCTGTATTTTCTAAGAAATATGCAAAGAATTTTAAAAAACTTGAAAAGAACATATTCCAAATTAGTGACAGTATTATTAAAATTTTCAAAATGGCATATATCATAAATCCCTTTGCAGTGATAAGCTTAAACAATTATGTACCATATTTTGAAATGTCCTTAGAATAAAAAATATACCATTCATTTTTGTATCTGTGAAGATGGCAAACTCTGTGTCAATATTCAAATGTCATAAGGCTAGGCAAACAAAGATTATAAATAGAGATCATTTGGATTAATTATCCAAATTGTTACTATAATTATAAAACAATGGTTTAAAATAATCCCCCTTATATCATGTTGATGTGTATAAGTCATAAGAGAATAAATGATATTTATCAGTTAGTATTAATTATAATCCAAGTTACAATCCAATTAATTGTCATCCAAAGAAATTAAAGGCATTATGATTTTAACAAAAGGTCATCATTCAGAAAATTTCTAATCTCTTTAAATATATTTATTATCCTTAAAGTGGCTTGATATTCACTTCTATGAAATATACTAGATATATCAATTCCTGATTTACTGTATGTATCCAAAACGTAGCTCAGTACATCATTTTGAAGGTGTATTTCTAACTTGAGGAGCACAATGAAAACAGGGAAGGGTTTGTGGATGGTCCCCCACAGTGTTATCTAACAGAATGGGCTTCTAAGCCTAAACGGTGTCCTTCTAAAGCCAAGTAAATCTTCATATTTTTTGAGTAAAACAACTTGAGGGGATTTTTGAATACAGATTCAATATTCAATTGTCAAACGTTAACCGATGGAGGTTACATTATTTAGTATGCACATGCTCAAATGATGAGCAGTATTGTGGCAGTGATTGAGAGAGAGTTTTATATGTTTTTAAAAAGATGTATATTAATTTGGTTGTCCTTATTCACTTGTTTTGTAGCATTGGATATCTAAAAATGTAATTTCTTATTAAAATGTGGTTCCTTTACCCTACTCCATGTGACTTTGATGAGAAAATTAATCATATTACAGTGAATAGGTCCCAATGAAATATTAAGTAGAAGAAGTACATATAGTGTACTTCTGTTTTGGTTTTAGACAGTGATTCTCTATACAGATCCAGATGTTTGGTGGTCTGAAATGAATCTTTTGAAGCAGGTACACATTTCAATTTAATGTTAAGGCATTTTTAAGTGTTATTTTATATCCCTAGGGAAATCAAGCTTCAATTCCTCTTAACAGTTACAAGAAAACATGCAAGCTGAGACCAGATTAAAAATCATTCTTTCAGGGTTTAATAAGTACCATTTGAGAGAATGAGACATCCTTCTGAATTAAATTAGCTACCTCCTGTATTTTCCACAGACTATTCTTAACAAATATAAACAAACTTGCCCTTTGAGATGTCTACAAATGTATCTTTGAGAAGAAGGAAAATAAGGATATACTAAAAATTAAAATTCTACTACAATCTAGAGTATAGAAATGCATCACACTAAATTTTGAAATTCTTTAAGGTATCTTAGTCTTTATAATGTGGTTATTAATTTATTTTGATGCACTCTCACTGAATTACTGGAGACAACCAATTTTTCTACTTATTTATGAACACCACACATTTGTTTTAAGTAAAAATTGCTTGCATTTATTCTTTAGTAAAGTATATATTACCTGTTCTGAGAAATAGTAAGATTTTGTAGTAAAGGTAGCCAATATGAAGAAAATGCTTCCATAGTTGAAATATTGTTATCATCCAAGTGCAATTCTCTTAGTAGAACATGATTTCCCAAGGATGGAAGCTAAATTTTAATACAATTCATTAGTTTATATTTTGTCAGTTAACACAATTCTTAAAAATAAAATCTAAAAAAACTTGCAACTGATAGATTTTGCTAAACTGTAAATCATACAGGAAAAATATTGAGACAATTTTAGTATAAATAAAACTTCTAATAATTAACTTCATAATTTTAATACTTTTTATAAGGGCTATTTCATTATAAATGCAATTATAATTCCTTAATAGATAAATTTAGCCCTAATTGTATACTTTAATAAATCGAAGATGTTATGGTTTATTGTATTTTAGTATTATGATAAACTAACCTTAAATTAGATTCATAAAATATTACAACTAGTGAACATTTTTAGATAAAGTATAAGAGAGTTAAAAATAAATTGAATATCAAATGCAGCTTATTGGTAAAAAGATTTACTCACAATTGCCTTTTAATGTGTGGTTGATATTTCTAAAAAATGTTGCATTCATCCAGACAAATTAATTTAAGACAATTACCTTACTTAGATAATTTCCCTGTAACTTCAATACTTGAAGCAATCCGCAATTTTCAATGCCATCAATATCAGTAAGATTATTATAAGAGCAATCCAAGTATATAATGGTAGGTGTATCACAAAGGCCTTTTGTACTAATTAATTGATTGTGGTCCACAATTAGTTGCTGAAGATTTTTCAAAGATTCTAAACCACCTGAAAGAAAACTTTTTTTAGATCACTTATATCATATATTTTTCCTAAAATGCATTATACTACCATCTGAGGGACATATCTTTTAATATCATAGCTATATATCAACTTAAAACTGAACAAAATAATTAAAGGCATACTTAAATATATTGAAATCTGAATGTTTTCTTTAAAAAACAATAGAAGAAGCAAGAGAGGTAATCTGAGAGAATTTTCCATTAACTTGGGGAGGGAAATGCATCTGTGAAACCTTTCAAGGGTCACCCGAGATGGGCAGGGGATGCCAAAAATAAACATTAGGTTACACAATGAGGAAAGGTAAAGATTTTGGCAAAGAAAGCTTAAAGGAAACGGTGGAAAAGCAAAAGAATAATTGGGAAAAAAAAAACAGAAAAGGCAAACGCTTCTGTGAATGAGGATCAGCATGAAGAAAGGTAGTTTATTTGTACTAAATTATACATAGTCTACAAGTGCAAAAGGAAGAGCTGGCAAAGTAATAAGACAGGTTGGTGCTTTGGTGGTGATGAGGCATCTGAAGCCTGCTAGAAGAATTAAGGGTGTAATCAGGATGAAAGCCCCAGAGCAGTGGAAGGGCAAAAATTAGTATAGATTGCTTTTTAGATTTTGATAATGGAAAGAAGTTTCCCAAAATTCTTAAAATGACATATAAAACTATGTAGTTTGTCTCTTGCTATCTCTCTGAGGTTTTCCTCTACTACTGTCCCTTTCCATCAATTCATTCTAAAATGCTGGTCTCTTGCTGTCTCTGAAATGTCCCTCATCTGAGGTATGTATGTGCATACTTGCAATACAATCACTGTGTGACATGTCAGTTTCTGAGCTAATACCAAATATTAAAACGTTGCTTTTTGGTCCATGATTATACAGAAAAGCTACAATTATTTATTAAACAATCTGGTGAAATAACCCCAATTTCCAAACTTTAGACTACTGAGGAATGCTTGAACTACCATTTCAACTTCTGCAAATATCAATGCTTCATAGAATTATACACAAATATACACCAATATATAGAGATATTCTTTTCCATATTATTTAAATGAAAAGAAATTGAGATAAGTTAAATGTTCATCAATAGAGCAAGGGTTAAATAGATTAAAGGGTAGCTCTAAAATTAATTAATGTTCAATATATAGAAGTATCACCATGGGAGAATGTCCAGGATACATTAATCTATGCATACCAATACAGGTTTTCAGCTATTGAGTAAATCTAAATCAACATAGGTACTTGAATCTGAATCTACACGTCTATAATTGTGTTGCATAAGAACAGATCTGGATTGATTTACAAGTAATTGTTCACCATGATAAATCCTATAGGATAAGAAAGAGAAAAGGCCAGGCAAAGACTCATGGCTTAAACTGTTTACATTTCTATTTAAAAATCTTTAAAATTCGAATGAACTCTTTATTTTTTAAACATTCTATATGAGAGAAGAGGAACACAGCAAATATCGAAGGGAATGCTTATTTTGTATTGAATCATGACTAACAAGAAAAATGGTGCTTGAACTATGAAAAAACTTTGGAAAACCTGATATTATTCTCCATTATGTTCATTTTTTAAAAGTGAGAGAGTACTGGACATATAAATGAAAGTATAACTCTTAGATTGTTAAATGAAAGATTTAAAAGAAATTCAAAAGCTAAAAAAACAAATTGGATCTGATCATTAAGATACCGAACTAACTATAATGTGAGGAAGGAGGTGCGTTTAGAAAAAGTAAATTTTGACCATATAATTTAAAAATCAGTCCAATGGAAAAAATAAAAGAAAATCATCTCAAACCTAATGCAGAAGTGAGGTCCACTCACAGCCACATGAGTGAGCTCAGAAGTCTATCTTCTGGCTCCCTGGAGCCATGGAGATGGCAGTCCCAACTGATGGTTAATGGCAAGTTCCCAAGAAACTGAACCAGAACCACTCAGCCAAGCCACTCCCAGATTTCTGACCCATAGAAAATGCAGGGTAATACATTTTATTGTTCTAAACTGTTAAGTTTTCCATAACACAAAATACCTTAAACACAATGGAGGAGTGACCACAAAGAAAAAAAAATAATGAGAAAAGATGGAAAAATGAAAACAAAGCTTTTGTAAATAGGGAGGGGTGAAGGGGTGGAAGGGACAGATGGGGAATGGGGAAAAACAAGAACTAAGATATATCCTGTACAGGTACAAATTCCCGATGATGAATGTGATCATAATGTATACCTAAAATGTACCAATTAAGTTAATTTTTAAATAAAGTGTGGCCTATGAACAGAAGGTACAGCCACAGCTCTTATCCAAGTATGAATGCAACTGAGACACACTGTAGGATGCTAAAGAAGTCAAGAAAATGATACAAACTTTGAAAAATAAGATTTATAAAAGAGCTAATGAACTACATAATTCAAACAAGCAAGAACTGTCCAGCACAAATACAATGATTTTCCAAATATTTTCAATCTGAAGTTCATTTAATCCACAGATATGGTAACAGACATGATGGAAAACAAACTGTACACTTCTATTTTGAATTCTCCAACTCTGAATAAAGAGTGAAGGGCACAATGAATCTAAACAGATTGAGTCCTAAGATAATCACAGTAATATCAAATTAAACTGCTGGAAACAACAAAGAAAGAAAATTTTAAAGAGTAAAAGAAAACTATTTTTCAAGGTCAACAGTTGGATTGATGTGTATCAACCTAAGCAAGCCTATAAAAATGGAATACATTCACAACACAGAAACTGCATTCCAAATGTTAAGTCAATATTATATATGTGTGTGTTTGCATGTGCATTCATGTGTGTATTAAAAATATTAAACTAAAAAATCTGAACAAATTCTTCATGAACAGGCTTCATCAAAAGAAACACTAATACATACTTTTTAGGCATAAGGGACATTGTAGATGGAAGATGAAGGAAAGAACAATAAAAAGGTTGTCCTTTATTGCTACACAATAATATTGCCATGTTCATTAGGGACACCAATGGAAGTGATCTCCCAAAAGTTCAGCCATTCCGGCACTCAGAAACCTTTCCAATCATGGCCCCGGGGTCTAAGCCACTGCTTGAGCTGGAGGAAGACCTTGGCATCATCTATGTGGTACTGAATTTTCAGGCTTGCAGAATGCAAGAGCTGTGAGATAATGGAGGGTTCCAGCCAGATGTCAAAGAAGGGCCTAGAAGGCCACCCAATGTGTCCCTGAGAGGGTGTTGCAGGAAGCTGTGAAGGTGAAGCTGAAGGCACAGTAGAGACCCCAGGCATTGGAGATGCCAAGAATGTAGTCCATATGATAAAGAAAGCCACAAGCAATGCACACAGCCAGCCTGAGAGAGAGCCCATGTGGACTGCAACTAGCAAAGCCATAGAATTGGACTGCTCAAGCTCTAAGGAGATAATATCCAGTCAGAATCTATCCTGGGTGCTGGACATGGAGCTACAGGTTTTAATGTTTGTCCTGTTGAGTTTCAGTTTTGCTTTGGTCCATTTCCTTTCTACTCCCCTATGCTTTCCTTTTGGAATAGGAATGTTTACTTTGTGTCATAGGGTGTTAGAAATATTTAACTTGGTTTTTGAATTTTAGATGGGCTCATAGTTAAGAGTTTGCCTTAAGTCTCAGAGAAGACTTTGAACTTGAACTTCTAAGTACTGCTGGAACCATTGAGACTTTGGTTACACATAAATGGACTCTCATTTTGCTTAACTGACTCATTTTGCATAATGAGATATATACCAGCCTTTTGTGGGCTAGGGGTGGAATGTCATTGTTTACATAAAAAATGTCTCCCAAAAGTCTTAGGTGAGGTTTTTGAAGGATTATTGGACCATACTCATCAGTGGATTATCCCATCTATTAGTTAATAGCTGAATGCACTGATAGGACATAGGACCTGGTTTAGGTGGGTCACTGGAGGTGTGAAACGGAGGGGAGTATTCTTGTCTCCAGCTTCTCCTTGCTCCACTTGTTGCCATGTGTTCAGCAGATTTCCTCAGCCATGCTCTTACACCGTTTCTGTCTTGCAGCCAGCCAATGTAGATTTTATGCCATCCTTATCAAGGTACTAATGACAGTCTTTACAAAAAAGAATCTTAAAATTCATATGTAACTACAAAAGAACCCGAACCACCAAAGCACTCTTGAGGTATAAGATCAAAGGGAGAGAAGTGAATTTTTGGATAAGATCCCCAAGGGACAGGCAATAAGAAGCTGAAATAGACAATAGACAATAGGATTATATCTAAGAAGCTTCTTCATAGCAAAGGTAAAGAAAAAAAATCAAAGAGAAAATATACAGAAAGGGAGAAAATATTTGCAAAGTATTTATCTGATAAGAGATTAATATCTTGGATTTATAAGTAACTCAAATAACAGTAAAATAATCTGATTTAAAATTGGCATGTGATCTGGGGCTGTAACTCACTAGTATAATGCTTGCCTAGCATGCATGAGATCTTAGATTTGATCCTCAGCAGCACAAAAACAAAACATAATAACAACAACAACAACAGGCGATTCAAGTATGCATTTCTCAAAAGACGATATGTAAGTGGCCAACACATACATGAAAAAAATGTTCACTACCACTAGTCACCAGAGAAATTCAAATCAAAACCATAATGATACATCTTACCACAATCAGAATTGTTATTATAAAATAGCAAAATATTACAATTGCTGGTGTAAAAAATTATAAGTGCACAAGAGAACAACTTTCATATACTGTTATAGGGAATGTAACTTGTTACAGCCAATATGGAGAACAGTATAGAAATTCATAAAAATAACCCTAAACCCTGAACTTGTATGAGATCCAACAATTACACTTTGGGGTATATATTCAAATGAAATGGAATCAACCTATCAAAGAGACACCTAATCTCCTATATTTATTTTTCTTTTCTTTTCTTTTTCTACATTTACTTAAGCACTGGAACTAACCAAGGTTACTTGATGAATGGATAAAATAAACTATACATATATATTA